ATATTGTTCTTTGGTTTGAAACAGAAAGATTTATGGGGGTGTTTGTGGTGATGGTCTATTGTTCTCTCTCTCTTCTTTTTTTCCTTCATTCATATAGATAGTGAGAAAGATCTATTGTTATTGTTGTTGTTGATAATGATTGCAACAGATAAACAAAAAAAAGTTATATGACAGATTTTCAACAGACAAGAATAAAGAGAAACCCGCAGAATTTGAACAAATAAATAGAATTTAGGAAAAAAAATTGAATAGATAGATATACTTTAGGGGAAAAAATTAAATAGATAGAAAAAAAATTAACAAATAAATAGAATTTAGGGGAAAAAATTAAACAAATAGATTTAATTTAGGAAAAAAAATTGAATAGGTGGACAAAAAATTTGAACAGATAGTCAACAAAAAGTCGAATAGAAAAAAAAAAGGTCAAAAGGTAAAATTGAAAACAAAATATTTTCCAAAACTTCTCACCAAACACAAAGTGTGGACCTCTCATCAACAAAAAAAATATCCTTTGGACTTAATCCCTTATACCTTGTCTACTCTATTTGTTCTGCTACTGGAGCTATCTGTGAGTAATAAGTCTATAAAGCTATGTTCAACTTTAAGTATTTTTTGGATGATATGATATGATCTATTTTTTGAAATGCTATTTTATGATTAAATGTCTAATTGTTTGACTTTTTAAAATGTACATCCTTAGCACTATGTGATATCTGTTATCTGTTACCTAGTACCAGAGGTTCCATCATGGAACTGGTTAAGCATAACCATTATGTGTTTTGTATCTGACTGTCCATGTGATTATAGGTCATTTGTACATCTCATATAATAATGGGTCATCTCTTCTGTTGGCGCTAATAAATGTACCATGTATGACTATCTATGAATTCTGAATTCTGAATATGAATCTGTTTCTAAATCTAAACTCTGATTTTTGAATCTATTATGGACACCATTCATTAAAACGTTTACTCTGTTATCATTCACTAGGCTCCAACTCACTGTATTATTTATGTATGTAGGTGATCAGGCACATGACCAAGCTTAGTAATGATTTCCTAGAGATCTGTTCTGTCAACTAACCATTATGCCTCTCGAGAAGGTTCTCGTTTTGAGACGTGGTCAAGTTTTGTGAACTATTTTTAAAACCTTTATTTTCTTTTGTTTAAGTCTGAACAAGTTTTTGTATGTTTTGTATATATGGGTAACGTATGACTAACGTAAACATGACGTCACATGTATGTATATAAATTTGAAATTTTCTATGTCATGTATGTCTACACAGCTCTTTGGACATTATATTATGATATTTACTTCCGTTAGCCCCTTAATTTTGTTTAATCTGTTTAGAGGCTTTCAGTAATCCCAAGATTACTGGCTGGTTACGATGCTAAACCTATAGGGACAGGTTTGGGTTGTGACAATATTTTTGAATTGTTTGAACCAACCCATTTGAACTGTTTGAACCTTTTAGTGATCGACCAGTTGGTCAACCGGCTGGGCAACCGGCTGGTTGACCGGTTCCTCTCCTCCAACGGTCAAAAGTAGTAATTTGCTGAAATCTGCAGCTTATTCTCAGTTTGACGATTTTTTGTTGAATTCTCATTTTGATATCAATTTGGTGAAACGGTTGGAGCACCAAAAAGTTTTTTTTTCACCAAAATTTAAATTTGATGCCAAATTTGGTTCACCATTGGAGATGGTCTTACACTCCACACAGATTAGACTTTCAATTCATTATATTTAATCCAATAAATGAAGTGGGTGATGTGATGTGTGCTCGAGATGGGGGGAAGAGACAAGGAAAGTGACGTGAGATAGGGGTGTTTGCGGTTTGGTTGCGGCTGGGGAACCTCCGATCCGCCATCCATCTGCTGGATTGGCAGATTGGAAAAAATCAATCCCCATCCGTCCGTCGGATTGGCAGATACAGATTGAGCAAATTGGTGGATTGACGAATGGATGTGAATCGGTTTGGCGGTTTAAACTTTTACAAATTTTGAACATAATTCAACAACTTGTCGACATTTTTTTTTTAGATAACAATCCAACTCAATATAATCAAAAAATTATCAAGTAAATTGTCAAATACCAATAATAAATACATATAAGAAAATCATGTATTATCAAAACTATTTAATTATTGTTTTTTATTCAAAAACTGTTTAAAATTAAGCATGCTATTTTCTATACAAAAATATCAAATATCAACACTTGTCATTTGATAAAAAGATTTCCAAATTAAAAATACATTTAAAACACAACATAATATTTAAACTCTTTTTCAATTGAAAACATAAACAGAATATCTAAATAAATTGAAAACATAAAATCTTGCAAATTACTAAGAGTACTTGTGGTTTGGCGGTTCGATTGTGACAAAAAAAACTTCAAATTCGCAATTCGTCTAAAATTAGACGGATTGAAAAAAATCAATCTATAACCGTCTACTCGTCATCACGTATCTGTCTAAAATGCAACGGATCGATTCAGTTCAGTTGGTTTTGGCAAATCGAAATATTCGCTGAACACCCCTAACGTGAGGGGGTTAACTTTGTTAGTGTGTGATATGAGATGATAGAGATATGAGGGTTAAGGGTAAAATGGCAAATAACTATTAACATCTTCTATTCCGACTGCAGTCTGTAGGTAATTCCCCTTTAAATAAAGTAGGAATTAGGATAAATTACAAATACGCCTCCTGAGATTTGATTGAAATACAAATCGTTCCTGTGGTTTTGGAAATTACATTTCATTCCTTGAAGTTTCTAATTTCATAACAAATCATCATTTTTATTAATAAATCATCAAGTCAATTAATAGTTTTAATAATGTTAGAAATATGTTTCAATTAATAATTTAGGTAATTTTATTATTGTATAAAAGAGCAATTATGAATTTATTTTTTTAGTTAATTCTGTTAAATAAAAAAATACTAACAAAGAGGTATTTGTAATTTTCCAAACCATAAGAATACTTTATATTTAAACAAATCTTAAAAGATATATTTGTAATTTACCCTAGAAATTATATGTAGATAGGAGTTGAAATTTTTTTTATAAATATATGGGATATAAATGTGTTTATAATTGGGTGTAAATAAAAAATTGTGAGATGTAAGTGTGGTTTATACCTTTGGGAAAATTAGTCTAGGTCCTTCTCCCACTTTTCGTAATGGAAGAGATCCACAAAATTATTTTATGATGTCTAAGGTCCCTAAACATATCACAGAGAAATTTGACCTTACCAAATCAAAACTCATCTGCCTCTCTCTCTCTAAACTTCTCCATTCTCAGACCTGTCCAGATGAACTCTTGTTCCTCACCCCTGACTTCATTCTCCAGCCGATTGAGCTCCACCTTCACCGGATCCGACCCGTGCAGCAAATTCAAGAACTCATCCGCGTCCAAACTCGGCGGCCTCTGCAGAGCTCGCCTCCTCGAACTTTTAAACGATCCCAACACCGTCAACAGCGTCGCCGTCGCCGCCGGCTTATGCATGCAAGTCATGACTTGGATAACCAATCGCTGATCGTTCTTGCAGTGATCAGGGTCTCCGCTGACGAAGTACGTAGGTCTAGGCATGTCAAGGCTAACTATAGTGTTGTTGCCATTGTTGAAGGTAGAGATTGGATTGTTCATGTTGCAGTAGAAGTAGCCCCATTTGTCTACCACAAGAACAGAGTCATTCTTGTATTCGAAACGGAGTGAATCTCCAACAAGAAATCTGTTGGTTGCAGCCCACTGGTCATAGAACGCGGTGTGGTTGTCACTGGGCTGTCGCCAACCTTTAGAATCACCAACTCTGAATTCCTTAAAAGCTCCAACAGCGGGGGTGTTGATGGCGGCGGTTAATAGTATGAAGAGAAAGGTGGAGAAGAGACCAAAGAAAGAAGCCATATTTGTGTTCTTGTTCTTCATTTCCCTCTTAATAGCAGAGTGAGTGAGTGGTTTTGCTTTACTTGTAGAATTTATCTCTTTCTCTCTCTCTCCATTGATTTAAAACTCAATGAAGTTTAAATGAGTAAAATTGGTGAAGTCATATATGTATGTATATATATATTATACTGTTTGTTTGTGTTGTGGAAGCTTTGGAAACCAGAGAATTTCTCTGGACCAACCTAATTTTCTCTGAAGCAAAGCACTAATTCAACCCAGAGATGGAAATTCTCTGCTCAGAGAAAATTCAGTTCAAATGAAAAAAAATAGTCGAAATAGACGTTTTGTGAGCTAAATTACCAGAGAAAATTCTCAACCAAGAGAAAATTCAGTTCCATTGCCAAATACTCCTGGAAGCTGGTAATTCAATGTTGCGCTTTGCCAAAGTTTCTTTCAACATCTTCGTTTCTTCTTCCATTGCCGATAGACGTTCTGTGAGCTAAATTACCAGAGCTAAATTTTAAATATTATTACCAAAAAAAAAAAAGAATGGCAGAAGTGCACAAGTTTAAATTTGGTTAAAACACATTTCGAAGTCAAAGAAATTCAAAATTTCTTTGGAGATAAATCCAGAATTTCTCTGGAGAGAAATTCCGAAGTCCAGAGAAATTTCAAGAATTTCTCTCCAGAGAAATTTCTCTGGACCAATTTTCTCTGGATCAACTTAAGGAACCTTAGATATTATGAAAATATTGAGTGTCTTTTATTCTGTAAAATCTTAATACCAGGGACCTTAAAAAAAATTCCCCTATACCTTTTTATGTGTTGGTAACTTTTTTTTTTTTTCGCAGATCTAGTTTGGAACTTTTTTTTAAGTAATTTTTTAATTTTTAGTTAAAATATGATATAAAAAAATTAGTATATTTGAAATATTTTTTAATTTTTTTACAAAAAAAAAAGATATATAACAAAAAAATATTTTTACAAAAAAAAGATATATAACAAAAAAATATAAAAATATAATTTTTAATTTTTTAATATAAATTATTAATTTTTTAATTTTTTAATTTTTTTAATAATTATTAACTTTTAAATTAAGAAGTGATATTGCCGAACGATAAACGATACCTCAATTCCCACGGCATCTGCGTTGTCTGATCTGATCTGATCTGATGACGTACGCACCTTCTTGATAATTTTCAAATGGCAGTCTCTTTCTCTCTCTTCAGAAATTTTTTCCATCAGCTTCTTCCCTCTCTTCTTTTGCTTCCGAAACCCCTAGCTTTATCACAGCTTTAATCGCCATGACAGTTCAATCCTCAAAACCTCAAGGTCTCTCCCTCCCTCTCTCTCTCTCTCTAAAATTTATGCTCTTTGATGATTTTTGTTTTTTGTTTGATATTATCCATATATCGTATTCGAATTTCATAAGCTTCCGTTTGATTCGTTTATAGTCTGATTCTTCTTCATTAGTGTACAGTTGAAAATCTGGGAATCAGTAGTAAAATAGAATTTTTTTTTTTTTGATACATGTAAAATGGAATTGAAATCTATGAAATATGAAGCTTGATCGTAGTACTAAATTAGTGAATAGTTTGAAAATTTGGGGATTACTTGGATTAATTATGATTCACAGTAGATTATCAGTTGAAATTGAGTAGAATTATTGTTATTATTATTTATGGATTTCACTAGCTAATTCGGTTTTGTATACTTTATGATGGTTAGTGAATTTGTTTTCATGCATGATTTGTTTGGCTGATTATGTAATTGAAAACCTTGGTTTCGTTGATCCGTCCAGATGAGCAATACAAGGTTGCAAAGAGTTCTTACTTCAATTTACCAGCATTGGATGTTTCCGTTGCGTTTCCCCAAGCAACTTCGGCTTCGGTCTTTCCTCCTTGCTGTAAGATAGATTAATTTTATTCTTCTAGAGATTTGTGATAATTCTGTTTGGTTTTAGGTTTGGTGTATGATTTGTATACTGTCACACATATATTGATATTGGTAAAGCTATGTAGCTCTAAATGTGATGGCTCGAGAGGCCCGAATTTAGTTTTGTACTCAACTTGTTGCTACTGTGCAATTACTCCCAGACATTTCATTTGAAAAAGAAAAAGAAAAAGAAAAAGAAAAGAAAGAATAGAACAGAGAGAGAGAGAAGAGCACCGTGTCTTCATAAAACCTAGTGGAACCGTCCATTGTGGCTGCTGTTTGCTCTGTCCATTGTGGCTGCCATGGCTGCTAGCTGCTGTTAAAACTGGTACTATCATCAAACTAAATAAGATGATTGTGAAAACTAGAGCTAACCCCCCCAAAAAAACCCCCCCCCCCCAAAAAAAAAAAAAAATAAAAAAATTAGCACATTGAGCTGTGGCCACTGCGTAAGATTTCTCATCTGTTCGTGACCATGATAGTCAATACTCTTACTTGAGCCTTTGTTCATATTCATTCTATACTATTATTATAAAAAAAAGCACCAGTTTGTTTGTTAATTGCTCAATCTTTCACAAATTTAAAACTATAAATGTGTCTGGTAGCTATTACCAAACACATTTCTGCTATGGTGAACTGATTCGAAATGGTGAACTGATTCCAAATTTTTTTTAACTGAAAACAACTTTGTTAGGAAACATCAAACAATTAAGTGTTCAAATTTTCAAAACAAAGGGGTTCAAGAATTGTGCCTGGTACCTATTAAAGAGGTTCAAGAATTGTTCTTTTCTTCTTTTGCAAGTTACATATATGGACCATTTTGTTATGCACAGATCAGTGAACTGATTCCAAATTTTTTTTAAAATGAAAACAACTTTGTTAGGATAGGAAACATCAAACAGTTAAGTGTTCAAATTTTCAAACAAAGGGGTTCAAATTTTCACAAGCCGTCGTTCGTCTTGCTTCGTCATTGTTGTCCTCCGTCGTCGTCCTCCTACCGCGACCAGAGAGCGATGGGAAGGTTTACCAGAGATGAGAGGGATGAGAGAGATCTGTGGAATGAGAGGGATGAGTAGAGAGAGAGGTGAGAGTGTTTCAATCCTTCTTGTCATTTGAGAATATAGTAGAAAAGAGGAGGAGAGGAAAACCAAAGAGAGAGAGAGGAGAGAGAAAACATACTTTCGAGCCAGTCGAGCCAAAGACTTTTGAGCTATGGAGCATTTTCGTATTGATATTATGCTGATTTTACAAAAGTTAGTTTGGTTTTCTCTCTTTCTTTTTTTCCTGGGTTTTTCTTGTTAAAATATAATATTTGTGATTTTTTTTTTTAAAAAAATTAACCAAATACAAGAAAAAAAAAAAAATCGAAAATTCAGTACATTTTTATATTTTGTTGTATTTAATAATTTTTTTAAAGATTTTTGTACAAATTTTATATTTGTAAGTATCTCACGATTAACTGGATCTAAAAAGTAAAAAAAGAAAATGATTAAAATATTTTAAAAAATCACTAAAAACACAAAAATATGAATTGAAAATTCAAAAAATTGTTTTTGAAAACTCCAAACCAAGATTTAGTGTACTTTTTTCTTGGGGGGCTCTATAACAGTGTTGAGTTTCTTGTACTGATAATCTTGAACTCCTAAAATTACAGCTTCAGACTACTTTCAGTTTGATGACCTATTGACTCCTGAGGAGCAGGCCTTGAGAATGAAAGTAAGAGAGTGTATGGAAAAAGAAATCGCTCCAATAATGACAAAGGTATTTTCTTGTTGTAAATCCAACTTCTCTAGACTCTTATGCGTCATGATAACTTTGTTGGTTTGTCTGATAGAAAATGGTGGAGCAATTCCCTTGTGTATGTTATGATTTAGACATAAGGTGTCAAGCACATTTCATACTTCTGAGGATTTTTTTGATACAAACTACCATCGGTAAATATGTTTATGGCCCTGTATTTGATTACTTGCAAGTGATACCTATACAAAATCTTTCTTTCAGTATTGGGAGAAAGCAGAATTTCCATTTCATGTTGTTCCAAAGCTTGGTGCCCTAGGTATTTCGGGTGGTACAATTGAGGTACCTCGTGATTTTTTGCTTTGGTATCTGCTTTTGAGCTTGTTATAGTGGTAGGTGAAAATTTTATTTAGTTTTGTCTTCCCAGGGGTACGGGTGTCCAGGTCTCTCCATTACTGCAAGTGCCATCACTTTTGCAGAAATTGCTAGAGTTGATGCAAGCTGCTCTACGTTTATTTTGGTGCATTCTTCTTTGGCAATGCTCACTATTTGTAAGTTCTTGATGTTATTTACAGACGTTTGCTGTAACTGTTTAGTTGTTATAGATTATAGTTTTTCTTTGTCATGATTATGGTTGATGAATGATGAATTTTCTTATACATTCTTGGTTTATCATAATCAGCAATAGGAGGTTCTGAAGCACAGAAACATAAATATTTACCTTCATTGGCACAACTTAAAACCATAGCTTGTTGGGTAAGATTCTGTCTCTTTTTGTTTTGACATGTGTCTAGATTCCTCAGCCAACCCTATTTGATGGGACTTAAGGCTTGGTTTGGTTTGGTTTGGTTTGGTGTGTGTCTAGATTCCTATTATTTCAGTGACACGTGTCTCTGCTGTAAGCAAGTACTTCAAATATTCTATTCACGCTACAGGGTTTGACTGAACCTGACTATGGAAGTGATGCAAGTTCTCTGAAAACAACAGCAACAAAGGTCCAGGGTCCCAATCTATTAATTATTAATTTGTAGTGCTGATCTTGGTTCTTTTGCTTTAGCTACCAAATTGCATTTAGCTAGTGTTTGGTTCATTGGAATGAAGGTGGAATAAAATGATCATTCCATTAGAATATCCATTCTCATATTTGGTTCACTAAAAAAATAATGAAAAATATAATGCAAATGGAATCATCATTCACCGTTGTAAGTGAATGATGATTATCTTAGGAGGCTAAGGAGTGAGCATTCTATTCCATTCCACTTTCATTCTAGTGAACCAAACATAGCACAAGTGATTAACATCGGCTTTTTGGCAATTTATGTTCGTGCTGCGCCTTTCCTTTTGGGATGACCAGGTCACTGGAGGTTGGATTCTTGAAGGCCAAAAGCGCTGGATAGGCAACAGCACTTTTGCGGATGTGCTGGTTATTTTTGCTAGGAACACAAGCACAAATCAAATAAATGCGTAAGTAAACTTGTTCAATTGTCATAACTTTAGTACCTATGAAGCACGGACACGGACACGCGACACGACACGGACACGTAAAAATGCAAATTTTCAAAAAATAGGGGACACGACACGCTAGGGACACGTTCAATATGTCTAATTTTTTTATATATTATATGTAAAATTAAAAAATATATACTATTTTTATATGTAAAATTAGGCATCGATTATATATTATATGTAATAATAGTAATAATATATACTATTCAATAAATACAGCAGCACCAAACAGATATTAGTAAAGATACATTGTTATCCAAACTTACTTACTGGAAGAAACCAAAAAAAGAAGAAGTAATTGTGACGTGTTAATCTGTTGAAGGTTGATCAGACTGACTAGAAACTTAAGTTTCAATGGCAGGAAACTGGACACTTTTGAATGGCCACTTGCATTCCTTCAGCATTTTGGCAGTTTGATATTTTGAATAATTAATTAGTCAACATACTTATCCAACCTTCATGTTTTATGTTAAATTTATCAAGATAAAAATGGTCAATTCCCCCTTTTCTGCATTTTCCATTTTGTGTTTTCTGAGTTCCCAAAAAATTAGAGAATGCCAAATTAATTTCACTTGATTGTGTCCAACCCAGGGTAACAAGTGCTTTTGTGAAGTTTATATATATAGTTGCATCAACATAATGTTTAGGACCTATTTCTTGGATAGTGATTGATTTCATTGCATTATATTTATATTGTTCTGTTTTTGAATTACTTGATTTTGTGCTTGCAATACCCAGATATGATGTACTTCTTAATTGTTTGTGAGCCTTTATCTCCATACACTTTCTTTTAACATGTCTATTGCTTCTTCCATCTGTTTCAGATTTATAGTAAAAAAGGATGCCCCTGGACTACAGGCTACTAAAATAGAAAATAAGATTGGCCTGCGGATTGTTCAAAATGGAGACATTGTACTGAAGGAAGTTTTTGTCCCTGATGAGGACAAGTTGCCTGGTATCAAATCTTTTCAGGATACAAACAAGGTATGGCAACAAATGGGTTCCATTAACAGTGATTTCGTATCTTAATTAATTGCATATTATATTTTAATCTATTTGTTGTATGATGCTTTGATCGATTATGTTTTCGGCAGTTTATTCTGCGGATAGATTGCCATAGCTGGTTTTGCAATTGTTCCGTAGGCTTATCATTGTAGTTTAAATTTAGCTTCCTAGAAACTTAGCTTTATTTCATGTTATAAATTTATGTCCTTTTCACCCTTGACAATTTCTTGTGTCATTGTCCTGTAAGGTCCCTCCTTCTGTGAAAATAAAAATCCAGTATTAAACGATAAGCCAGTGTAATTCATAATCCTACTTTCCTGGCTTTTTGTGCCGATTTGTATTTTTATTTTCTTCCTTTTTATGGCTTGCTAGTGGCTGCCCTCTAGGTCTAGACAACATGAGTGGCTAGGCATCTATGTGAACATGATGTATTTTCATCCTGCTCTTATTTGGTAAAACTGCCCAACTGGAAGGCAGTAAACTCTGCGAGCACTATAGTTATGTCGAAGTTTATAGGAATATTTATTTATTGGACTTGATGTTCACACACATCTTTGTTTCTTTTGTTCGGTGCAAAGCGAACATGAAATGGCATTTAATGCCTGTTTGGGGCAAGTCTTTATTTATTTATTTATTTATTTATTTTCAAGGTTATCTAGGGGTGTTTGGGTAGAGTCGAGTGGAGAAGAAAGATTCATGCAGCCGACCCCATTTGATGGGACTTAAGGCTTGGTTTGGTTTGGTTATCTAGGGGTGTCAGGGTCAGGGCCTAGCCCCTTTGTGCCTATGTTGTTTGTTTGCCAGCTGTCATGAATATGCCTTCACTATTATGCATTTTTTTTGGAGGGGGGTTTTCATCCGTTTGTAATACTTGTCATTTCAACTTACATTGCTGCATGATTCTCAATGATTTATTTACTTATCTACGTTCTGCCGTCTTCAAACAGGTCCTTGCTGCTTCACGTCTCATGGTTGCCTGGCAACCTATTGGCATTTCAATGGGTGTATATGATATGTGTCACAGGTATGATCGTATGGCAATATCACCAATGTTTTTAGCTTGTTGCTTGTGTTTTAATAAAAGGTTGTTGAACACCCCTTTTGTTATCTCCTCAAACTGAAATTGTGAATCCCAAGTGAAATTGCCGCGTAGGATGCCTCTTGGTGATGGTTGGCGTAATTACCACTCCTAATCCCCCTTTCCATCTACAGCAGCTAGTCTAACCATTTGTTTCTTACAATTGATCGGTCACCCTTAAATTGCTTCATCTTTGTCTTTGTCCTCATCCTTCATTGAAACTGATGTAGCAGAATAGTTAGGTTAAGTGTATTAACTAGCCTATTAGTTGTAGTCTATAAATAGGAGACGTAATACTCATTGTACTTACTTTTTGGAATAAAAGAAGAATATACATTGAAATTGGAGTAGAGTTTAGTTTCTCTCTTTAGCCCTTAGGGGTTTTGCCCTTAATTGGGGCATTTGTCGTCTTTCTCTCGATTTTATCTTGATTTTGCATTTGGAGTTCATCATTTGGTATTAGAGCCTGAGCTTGATCCAAATTTCTTTCTAATTGAACATTGATTCATCAATCCAGTTATCTGTGAAATCTTGTTCCCATATCTTTAACCCTATCTTGCTGATTCACGATTGACTTTCAACAAATTTTTCTGTCGAGAATTGAGATTTGCACCTTGATATACTTCACGAGCTCAGATTTAGGGAGAAAAAGACTTTGAAAACTCAGATCTAAGAGATTAGACTTCGATTTGCGAACACAGATTTGAGAGATTGTGCTTTGAGTTGGAGTTGCAAACCTGTTTGAGCCTTGAATCGAAGTATGAAGTCGATTCGCGATCTTCTAGTTTACAGAAGCCCTAGCCAACCACAATCGATCATTGAGATCTCCCGGGTCGAGATACGAACTCATTTGGAGTTCCTTTTTCAGATCCAAACTCGTTCTGAAGCTCCTATTCAGATCCAAGCTTGATCGTTGGTTAAGAACTGAACTTGATTCAAAGTTCCTAGTTGAGATCCAACAGATGGAGCCTATGCTGAAAATTAGCGACTTTGATCTTACCTTTGCTCTACTTGGCGAACTGAAATAGTGTTTTCAGTCAATTTAGCAGTCGCGATTGGGATTTCACAAAGCCTTAGCAGTTGTTATTGGATTTGTGATGTTATCAGCAGATTTGAGGTGTCTTGAGTTTAGTCCATTGTTTGAATTCTGTGAAATGAATCTGCTCTCAACTTCTGATCTTATTTCCAATATTGTCTTCAAGGCTTGGTGATAAGCTTGGATTTCAATCAATGGGCTTACTGATGGTTTGTTGTCTTGGATCTGTAAAGTGCTGTATTGTGAGTTATAACTTTGTATCAGTGGCATATTGAGATCGAGATCGAGATTGTAGAGATGGACGACATAGAGGTTATGTTGCAAATTTGGGTGAATATACTATGATGAATCTCTCAATTGGAAGGAAGCCATGATGCTACTCCAAATCAAAGGCATAATTAACGAGATGAGTTGAAGCAAATGGCTGGACGACTTGTCACATTGCAAGCCACCATTGAAATTTTTGAAAGCTTCAAAGAAATTATTTGAAGTTTATCGATGGGACTCTTTCATACCTCTTTGCGAAGTTGTTTTGAGTTGAATAGGTTGCTTCTTGTGTGCTCAGTTCACATTTGTGCCAAGGGAGGAAAGGAAGAACGCGTGCAATGCCAAATTCCAGTTCGTGATTAGCTACTCTCATGGTTTTGCCTAGTGGATGCATTGTCTATCCTATCGTTGTGTCAATTTTTTTCTCAGCTTTGCTTTGAAAGCTGTCATTTGCCAGCCATTGGTCTCATTCCGACAGAATGAGTACTTTTCTGCACGAGTATGCAGGTTAGAGGTGAAGGGGTTTAGAAATGGGGTCTATTTGAGTTTTAGCGAGGGGGTATGGACACACCTATGGTTGTTGAGCCGAGGGTGCAAGGATGAAGTTCAATGTATTTGCAGACGGCTAAGTTGAAAGAATCATGCTTGTTCTTGAGCAAGGAAATGCAGCACCTGTTCCTTACCTATAGTTACATGAGTAATGTTACATTGAGTTTAGTCGCGGCTGCTGCCTAAACTTGAGGCCAAGTTTCTTAAACTGGGAGTCTGATGTAGTAGAATAGTTTGGTTAAGTGTATTAAATTGCCTATTAGTTGTAGTCTATAAATAGGAAACATAATACCCATTCTTCTTAGTTTTTGGAATAAAAGAATATACATTGAAATTAGAGTAGAGCTTAGTTTCTCTCTCTAGCCCTTGGGGGTTTGTCCCCTAATTGGGGCATTTGTCTTCCCTCTCTTGATTTTATCTTGATTTTGCATTTGGAGTTCATCAGAAACTTACTTGTTACTGCTACTTCTTAGAATGTTAATACTCAAAAGCGAACTATTTTGGGTTTTATATTGCTTTTCTGTTTCTACTGATTTATTTCTAGACAAAAGAAAAAGATGATGTTGAATAAGTACATGACCTTCTTTCCAACTGAGAAATCAGAATCTCTATTTCTTCTCTTTGAATGCCAATCTTAAAAAAAAGCTTCCTGCCCTAGTCATTAACTTCTAATTCTACTTGTTGTTTGCTCATTGTGAAACCTTTTGTTGAAGGGAATTACTTTAAGAGATTGACTTAAGCCCGAAGATCACTCTATTGCTGACCGTGAGGGGAAAAAGAGGAAGAAATTAAGCAATGAACCTTCCACCATATGTTATAACAAGTAAAATTTGACAGTAGAAATTGGCAGTTAGAAGCCTTTTATTTAAAATCTGTATAGAAATTGAATTTGATTTTCCCTAAAGTATGCCTATGATCTATCCCCTTCATTCAATGTGCTGCTTATTTGTTGTCTGTCTTCAGTTTGACCAATTGTGGTTTTTATGTTGTTCGAAGGTACTTGAAAGAGAGGAAACAGTTCGGAGCACCATTGGCAGCTTTCCAAATTACCCAACAGAAACTAGTTCAAATGTTGGGTAATATACAGGCGATGATTCTTATTGGTTGGCGCCTTTGTAAGTTGTATGACAAGGGAGCAATGACTACAGGCCGTGTTAGCTTAGGAAAGGTAGGACTTTTAGTTTTATGCTTAACTGATACAATGTGATTCTGTACTGATGAGGAATTTCTACATTGTTCAGGCATGGATTTCCTTGAAAGCAAGGGAGACGGTATCTCTTGGACGTGAGTTACTTGGTGGCAATGGAATCTTGGCCGACTTTCTAGTTGCAAAGGTTTTTGTACATATCTTGATTCAAATATATATTTTTTGGATAAATCAAAGGCTGCTGGAGCTTGGGGGAGGGGGCAAGTCTTGCCTGTGGCAAAGACTGGAACCCTTTGACCTCAGGTGCAGGGGTTCTGGCCAACTATGCTTAGCACCAATTAGTTCGTGATTCAAAATTTTACCTACCTTAGCCTGAGAAAGGATTTGTTTTTGACTTAATATAGGCTATAATAATGGTGCTTTGGGATAAAGTAACAGAACCATGATTACTGAAATTATAGAGAGTAGGATCTGAAATACTTTCATTGAAAAAAGACAAGTGGAATATGTCTGTTGATATCTGATTCGAAAGTGTAGGATCTGAATTCATACTTTTCCATTAAATCTATCCTCAAATGATTAGATTGTCTGTAATCACAAAAATAAGTAACTGTTCTATAGATATCACATTAGAGAGTGTTCTATTCTATACTTTAGGTTGGTTTGATTATAGTCAAAAATAAAACAAAACAAAGATTACTTTTCAGATATGAATTTAATTTCAAGCAGGAGATTTAGTTCATAATGCAATCTTTTTTACTGGTCTACAGTTGAGAACCAATATGTTGTGTCCAATCTTGCCATCAGGCTAATGTTGTCGAATGCACATTACCAAACTTATTCTAGGATCAGATTACTATGAATGCTTTTACTTATAGTCCTTTACTTCAAACCATTGGATTGAGAATACTTTTCTGTCTAATTTATAATGGAATGGTTCTTGAATTGAGAATAGTTTTGTGCCTAATTTATCATAAAATGGACCCTGTGAGTTCGGCAATTTCTAGATTAGATAGAAAACTGAAAGACAGACCGCACCCTGTTCGGCCTAAATATTATGTTTAGACTCTTTATTTAATTTTTGAAAGCTATTTTAGATTAAATTTTTTTTTTTTCCGATTGTTGTTTCTTGCTTAGCTCCATCCGTTGCATTTTTTTTTTTTTTTTTAGGCATTCTGTGACTTGGAACCAATCTACACATTCGAAGGCACTTATGACATCAACACCTTGGTTACTGGCCGGGAAATCACTGGGATTGCCAGTTTCAAGCCTGCTGCACGGAGCCGCCTGTAATGTTATAGACTCTCTCGTCCTTAATCTGATAAAAAAATCAAGGGACAAGGAAATAAACAGAGATATTCATATCCTTCTTTAGTGTTTTTTTATTTGTTTATGACTTTGTGGACTTCTTGTTAGCTGATAAATTACTCTGGGAAAAATAAATGTGAAGAATCAAAGGAATTGAAAAAAATTAATGTAATTCCACTTTACCTTGGACGGATGACTTGATATTTTGGAGCAGTTACCAGTCCATGGGAAATGTCTTAGCTTCCTGCAGCAGGATCTCGACTTTTACAGAAGCTATACAAACTAATAAATTTAATAAAAAATTTTTTCTTGATGTGATACTTATCATAGTATCAAAGTGGATTCTGCTCCAATATTAAGGTTTTGGTTAAATTGCACTGACCTTTTATGTGGTTTGGGAAAAATACAGTACATTACATAAGCTAGACATAATTACATAGAGTTTTTGTAATTTTTTTTTTCAATTCACATGATAAGATCATTGTAATTGTTAAATATAATAATTATATATTTTGTCTATCATACATATCATATTATATTCAGTATCATATTCAACACAATATTGAATATACACATAATATAATATTCTCTCTCTCTCTCACTCTCTCACACACACACAAACACACACAGATATTGTAACATGCCATCAGAGTTAGGTTAAGTATTTAGTAATTTTGCTTTACTGGCGGGCGCAGGCTATGAAGCACGGGTGCGGGTACGAGTACGGTATGGGTACGAGTGCGGGTACGCCGATACGGCAAAATTCCAAAAAAGTAGGATACGGGTACGGCTGCGGTACGCCGATATTTTTTATTTATTTTTTATTTTTTATAATTATGGTGAGAAGATCCAACCTACAAATTGAAATTAAATATCAAAACTAAAAAGAGAATTATAAAACTAAAAGACAAATATTAATATATTTCAATTCAATACAACACAACCAACACCAATTTAGTCCATAATCCAAGCAATGGAAAAACAACCAACACCAAAAGAAAAACAAGGCCAATTCAGTTCATAACACAAGCAAATGAAAAAAAACAAAAGAAAGCCCTATATATCTAAACTTGACACTTCAAAGTTCACTTCCATCAACTTCATCATTGAATAAAATAGCTTCCATCTCTGGCTCATCAAGTGAAAGATTTGCAATTTCAAGGAAACCAGAACCCTCCAATGAATCAAATGCATCTCCCCCAACGTCCCATAACTTGGTCTCTCCTTCTGTGTATAGTTGACTCCTCCTTGATAAGAGACGAATATTGGAGTGCACAAAAACCAAATCCTCGCACCGTTGTGGTGTCATTTTATTCCTCCTCATAGAGTGAATGAAAGAGTAGGTGCTCCAATTCCTTTCACAACATGATGAGGAACATGGTTGGCTAAGTAATTTCACTGCCAAAGATTGGAGCGTAGGTGCAGAAGAGCCATGTGCCAACCACCAAACCACTGGTTCCATTACGCCTCTATCACATATTGAGTCAGAGTCACCAAAACTTTCTAAACAACCTGAAAACTTCGCATACTCTGTATTAACAACTCTTCTCTCATCTGAATCAGGAAAGTATCTCTTAAAACACTTGATTCTCATCTCAGAAATTTCAACATCTTTGTGAGGAGGAACACGAATGGGATTTTCATGAAGCCACATCCCACTATAATACCTAGATTTCATAATTAGAAAAAAATAATAAGTAAATTATGCAATGAAAAAAATTAAAGTATAAACTATGACTCTAATGTGAATTATACCTTGGATTCAAAGAATGAGCAAGGCAATGAAGAGGTGTGCTACTTTTTGTCCACCTTTCCACTAATATTTGATGCACTATAGAGTAAAAGGATGACTCTTCATTTTCTGACTTCCCTTCACGTCTATAGATGGATGCCTTCACCCGTTCAATCATTGAATCCCACATCTCATAAACCAAATGTAGACATGGCTTATCTGCAAAGTCTTAAATTTTCTGTCTGTTTCTGACGTCTGTTCTTTTTGCAGCTGTTCGCCAGGCACCAAAAAATTTCCGCCAATCCTTTGTCCCCAGCCAAGACTTGAAGAGACTTCTGGGTTTGCCAATCGAGAAGCGAAAGGCACCCCTGCTTCTCAACTTCATTCCAACATACAGATCAGCTATCCCCGACATCCCCAGGAAAAAGAAGAAGAAGAGCTCATCTCCTTCCTCTGCTACAACTCTTCCAGTTGCTTCATCATCGCAAACAAACCAAGGATCAACATCTGATCCAGCAGATCAGCCATCTTCTTCAGCTCCATACTTGGTTCTAATTAAAGAATGAAAACGTCGGCAACGACTTATCCTAATTGCCGAGATGGGTCGCCCTAAGCCTGTCGCAAAAGATCTTCTGGCCGGTATTCCAACATCGGTTGATGATCAACCAGCACAAACCCTTCCTCCACCTAAGCCAAAGAGAATTAAGAAGGCCCTTCCAAAGGCTAAAGTTACTCAGACTGAGTCTGAGGATGCTTTGCCTATATGAAAGTTGGCTGAGAGTGACAAACCTCAACCCTGTGCTGGGAAGAGGTGCTCTGAAACTCAGCCATCAGAATCCCCAAAATCCAAAAAGCCAAGGTCTTCGTCCGCGACGACTTCGGGGTCAAAGAAACCAGCTGTCCCCTGGGCCCCCGAGATCACCCTAGAGGATAAGCCTGTAATGGCAAGTGACAGTGCCGACGACATTAATGTCGGCGTTGCACTCAGTACCGCCTTACTTCTCCCAAGCGACTTGGAGCGAAACGCCTAGTACAGCAAGTGTGAAAATTATGCCTTGATGTTACAACACTCTGTTCAAGTAAACGTCTTCTTCTTGGTAAATTTTTTCTTTCTCTTTATTTCATACTTTGAATGTTCTTTAATACCTTTTTTTTCTTTCAGGCCATCCAGCACGCCCATCCTTTCTCGATGCAGTCTTTTGAGAATCGGCCAAAGCTGGCCGACATGAAGAAGGAGTTCTCTTCTATTCAAAAAATCAATAAAGGCCTTGAATCAAAATGAAGAAGCTGGAGGATCAAGCCGAAGCTGCAGTTAAAGCTCAACATAATGCTGAAGAGAAGGCCGAGGCTGCTGAGGCTATTCGAAAAGTGGCTAAATCTCAAAGGAGAGAGGCTTAGGAAAGGATGGCCCAAGCTGAGAAAGAGCTTCAGGAGGCCCTGGCCACCAAAGAAGCTGAAATCAAAGAAACCGATGAAAAGACATATTCATAGGGTATGGCCGACGTCACTGAAGCCTATGAAAAACAAGTGAAGGAGGCATGAAACAAGGGTTTCGCCCTTGGTTGGATGTCCCTTCTTAAAAAACTCAATATTCCTGATGACTCTCCGTTGTGGAAGGCTGACGCCATTCCCTTGCCATTTCCTCCAGTCCTAACTCCAAGTGAGGATGTCGGCGAATCTGATGCTGACGATGAGGCCGAGGAGGAAGAGGACGAGGCTTTGATTAGAAAATCAAAAGATGCTGATGGGGCCAAGTCCCCTCCTCAGAATGATCAAGTTCTAGACTTGACTCAGGACGAGGAAGGTGATTTGGTTCCCATAGAAAATGTTCCTGAAATTGCACCAGCCGACATCCCTTCTGAGGCCAAGTCGGTTGAAGAAACTCTTCAAGAAATTGACGCCGAGATAGCGGTAGAGAAGGAGGCCGAGGTCGTATCTGATCCTCAAATTTAACAATCTGGCGGAGAAGAGCCTTAGCTTTAAGTGTTCTTTTTACTTGTATTTTCTTGCTTCTTTATCTCGAATGATGTATGTTCTTTGTATGGCCGATGTGCCCCCTTTTTTACTTTGAATGTTAATACAATTTTTCTCTTTTATTGAATGCTTGTACTGCTGTCTTTTCTTCTGTCTTTGTATGATTCTATACTTAGAACATTCTGCATATATTGTATATACTCTTTCTTTTTTGTGCAATCTTCTCGAGGTAACACACCTCAGTTATACCACCCGATAATGTATCTTGGCAAGTATTTGTCCTGTAAATTGCTTATAAGTTTCAACAAGGATAAACATATAACAGTTAAAATTTTTTTTTCAAGTTATAACAAGTGCTAAACAATTATCTCGACTTAACTTCAACTTGTAAATTGCTATAAATTTCAACAAGTGAAGATAAACAATTATCTCGGCTTAACTTCAACTTGTAAATTACTACAAATTTCAACAAGCGTTAAGCATTATTTCGGTTTAACTTCAACTTGTAAATTGCTACAAATTTCAACAAGCGTTAAGCATTAATTATCTTGGCTTAACTTCAACTTGTAAATTACTACAAATTTCAACAAGCGTTAAGATAAATAATTATCTCGGCTTAACTTCAACTTGCAAATTGCTACAAATTTCAACAAACGTTAAGCACTACTTCGGT